ATGACAAGGAGTTGGAGAGCTGGATGCTTCTCAGATCCCTGCCCTCCCCCCACGCTCTCAGCCAAAGGTCCAGAGTTCCCGCAGGCCAAATTGGCTCTAAGTGGACACAGGTCCAAGATGGGGGCAGCTGACTGCTTTGGGGGCGCAGTGCCAGCAAGCACAGGGCGGGTTCTCTGTCGGTTCGGGCAGCTGGTAAATGAGGGTGGCTTTTTCAGGCTCTCGTGATCTGTCTACACCAATTGGGGTGCAAAGCCCGCGAATCTTGTCTCTTGGGGCTTTCTCTGGTGTTGTCTCACGGTCAGCCTTGTTCTCCCGTGGGTGCTGCTGACCCATAGGCTCCGCCTCCAGGCCCAGGTGTGTCCCCTCACACAGACCCAGGCACATATGCCCCAACCCTGCTCCCAAGCGCCCCCCCCCCCTGCATTAGCACAATCAAGGCTGCGAGGGACAGACTAGGAAGCCAGCAGGATAAAGGCCTGATCTACCTCACTGACCCTGCAGGGGGCCTCAGGGAGACGCAGCAGCTCAGACAAGTCCCCCAAACGCACCTGGCCGCTCCTGTTGACATAATAATTAGCATAACAAGCTGCACCTGCATTCTTAAAGGAAGCACAGTTGAGCAAGCTGTTGAGTGAGCATCATCGCATCATCCAGGGTGCTGCAGGTTCCAGCTCTGAAATATTTGTAAACCTTGTGTTAAGATGCTGCAGGGTAAGTGAAGGCTTTGGGGCTGCTGGCCTCTGGGGCTGTCACCTGCGGCCTAGAAGGCTGGAGGCGCTTGGGAGTGCGGGCTCGGACGCGTGCGTGCCTGATGGTGGGCACCGGAGTGTGCCGGGTCGGTGTGAGGGGGCACCCCCGGGCCTGCACGAGGGGGAGCCTGTCGGGGCGCAGCATCGTGGAGGACTGGGTGGAACAGAGAGTGGGTGAACGGTTATGGCAGACGGCTGTGAGAGGACAAGAATGCGGGAGAGCCCAGAAAAGCGTGGACCCGCCAGTGGGGAGGGCCTGCCAGCCTGCCCGGCCCGCCTGCAGCCCTGTGCGCACGTCACGTGCGTCGTGACCATTCTGGAGTATGTGGGTCAGTGCAGTGGTCACTGCACGACCATCACCACCATCTTCCCGCAGAGCTGAAATTCTACACTGTTAAACAGAAACCCCCAACCCTGTTCCCATGGAATAGGACCCCCCACCCTGCACAAGTTCCAATTTGGCCAGTCCTGGGGTGTGGGGCTTTCTTACAGTCCGGTAAGAATAGGAAAGAAAATCTTTAATCTTCAACGAGATGGAAAAGCCCGAGCTCCGGGCGGGCCTGGTGCAAGGCGCCCCCTGCTGTTGGAATGGATTTTCCCTCACGCGCCTCACTTAGGGTTGAGTCTCCTTAATTCTGCAAGATGTCCCAGCTGTCAGCGGGAAGTGTGTGCACTTGGTGAGTTCATCAAAACTAATGATATCCTAGGTAATCTGAGCTTTATATTCTTTTTGGGGGGGGGCTTTACAAATTTAATTAGTATGAGATTATAACTGGAGAGCTGTGCTCCAAAACCAACTATTTGTTCGATTAATTTTAATGACAGCATTTTGTAACACTGTTTTCGAGAAAGGAACCCATTTGAAAAATGTTAAGCATAGGCTGTGTTCTGCCATAGATTTCCTCCCCTCCCCCCGAGTTCTGATCCTGTTTGTTTTGATTTGGGAAGAAAATACCATTTCTGATGTCATGAAATGATTTTTTTTTTCTTAAATCTCAGTACAGAACATTTAAAACTGTTGATGGGAAGGAGATTAAGGTCATTAAGTGCATAACTCGTAACGGGCCAGCTACTGATAATCTATTTCTTCCTTCTTCCAAGGAAAACAAATAGAATCTCAGCCGAACAGCCCTTAAATATACTTTATAGGCAACATTGAGAGTTTTTGCTTAGCTAGCTTTGGATTTTGCTGTTTCTGATTTTATTCTGAAGCTCACTTTTATCCCCGGCTGTAATTACCGTATTAACTTTGCGAAGCGCACTTGCTTGAGTCTCAGCAAAATGGCCGTTACCAGCAGGCTGGGTGCCGAGCTTAGAACAGGGTTGCAGGCACCCATCTAAACAGAAACCTCAGGCTGTTTGCCAACGTGTAGTTTTTATTTTGTATATTTTTTGCATCATCTTTCATTTTTGTACAACACGTGCTTTCTCATCCCCGTTACAGTCCCCCGAAACTCCCACCGCCAATTCACCTCGAGTGAACCGGAGTTCACCAGAGTCCCTGGTGTTCTTCCCACTCCTGTTTTGATCCTGTTCCCCTCCTGTTTTGATTCTCTACAGAATGTCTCTGATTAGTAGTTGCCTGTTGTTTTGACATTTTCAGTCTTAAGTTTTCGCAATGAAATATACAGAGAGATGGGCAGACCAGTCTTGATTCTTTTTTTTTTTAAGATTTATTTATTTATGCATATAGAACTGGGGTACAGGGGCAGTGAGAGGATTCACCAGAGATGGGGGGGTGCAGACCGGGGCTCTACTGAAACTGCGCCCTGTGGGTCCCTCCCTGGCCCAGATTTAGCTCCTGCTGAAGCAGCTGGGGCTAGCTTTGCAGTGCTGCGTTTTAACCCATTGCGCCACCATGAAGCGCGCGCGCGCGCACGCACACACACACACATACACACACACACACACACACGCCGCCATCTTGATTTTCAAAAAGAAGCAATGGGCGCTTCACAGCCCAGCTGAAACTGAGGATTCCGTGACTTCATACCCAGACCCAGAGCTCTGACCAGCTCACCCATTAAGTCCTGACTGTGAACATACCCCCCAGGTGACCAAGACATGCTGTGCTCCCCAGATATTTTCAGAGTCTAATGACATCGATTTTCCAAGCCAGAACCCAAACCTACTCAACTACCAACGGTGAACGAGATTTGCTCCCAGGAGCAGCTGCGGGCTGGCTCTCCTGCTTCGGGTCTTCCCGCCTCTGCGTCTCCATAGGGAGCAGTCAGCAGCGGGGAACCACCGCCCCATGCCCAGATCTGGCTTTTTCTGCAAGGAAAAGAAGCAGGGCCCCTTGGGCAGTAGCACCCCAGGACTCGGTCAGATGAGCAGCCGCCGTGCTGGTGGGCATACAGCAGGGCTCCCCGCCAGGCCAGCACAGGGAGCCCGCAGACCCCTGAAAGAGAGACTGTGAGAGGCGCAGAGCATCGCTGGCCCCGGAATCAACACCACCTGCAGGGACCCACCTGGAAGCGAAGTTCTTAGCAGAATGTGCCTGGGTACTTCTTCCGAGCACTGGCGGCCCACTGCGCCGCCTGCCTCCGTCAGGGAGAGGGATGGCGCCCCCCAACCCCCCCCCCCGGCTCCCGGGCTGTGCTGTGTCCGTCTGAAGTGCTGAAGAGGAGTAGCTGGCCTGGCTGTGGGCTGAGTGTCCCCAGCACTTCACGCCGGCGACCTCCATGGGGGAAGGCGAAGGGACGCTTGTCCAGCCACCAGGTCACAAAGTCTGCGCTCCCTCCCGGTTGCCCGGTCTGAGGAAGCATTTTTCCTTTCTTGTGTGTGTGTTGGGGGTGGAGGGGGGGTGAGAGCTGCATAGCGAAGGTGCCGTGATGGTGCAGCTGCTGATAAAAGACCCCAAACAAGAGCAGCTCGGTCGCCTTTATACAGTGACACACATGTGTAACAGATTCTTGGGGGTGTTGTGAGTTTTTCTCGTATTTCAACATAACAGCATAGTCAATGGGACCAGCCTCGTCTGGTGAAGCCTAATTTTCGCAAAGCTACAGGGTGTCGTATCCTAAAACCTCAGTGTTCCGCCCGTGCGCGATCATTACTCCGTAATGCATTTGCTGTCATGCGAGAATCAGCTGCAGCTGAAGGAGAGAGCTGTATTTACCAGGGCTGGCCTTGGCCTGACTAATCCGCTATAGCTGCTTCGTGGGGCTTTCAGACTCGGGGTTTTCCAACCCCCTCGACAGCGCACAGCCTGTGAGAAGCCCGACCTGCCGCCTGGCGTCCGCCTGTCCCGCCGCCCCCGGCCAACCCCCCTCGGGCGCTGGGCGATTCTGACTGCTGCCCCCTGGTTCTCTTCCTTTCTTCAAGCTTTAGTGCCACGTGGGCTTAACCATAGTCTTGAGCTTCACTTTCCTTAGCTTCCTGGAGCCTGACTCACTCCCACATGTCCTCTAACCGTGGTCACCCCCGCTGGGGCTTCATCCAAGAGCCTCTGGGCCTCCCAAGGCCGCCGGCCGTGGGGCTGTTTGGGCCTGAGGCTCCCCGTGTCCCCGGGATTTCCCTGCCTTTCCTTCAGGCGGAACTTGGGCCTTTCTCTTTCTCCATTTCCCTGACTTCGCAGCGTGTATTGCTGGCAAACATGTCCTTGGAAAGGGGCTTTTTGAGGCCTTTAGAGGTGTCTTCCTCCAGAACACACTTGATCGGTCGTTGGGTCTCGGTTCCGGGTAGAAATCGCCTCCCTCCTGGCTGGTGTCTCCTGGTCTCGCTCCTGCTCTGGGTGCGAGCCGGCCTGTGTGCACAGCGGCTCAGCCCCGGGCTGCCCCCAAGGTCCGCGGCCGCCCGGGGTCGCGCTCATCCGCTGTCCCCACCATGGAAAGCCGCAGTCTCTGCGCCTCCTGGCTCGGTCCTCGCTGGGGAACTCCCACGTCGCGCCGGCCTCTGGCACGACCGCTCTTCCCTAGCCGCCAGGTCTCATAACGAGGGGACACGCTGAGGCTTTGCCGGTGTGCAGACCCATCGTGCCACCGCGCCTGGATGGTGCCCCCGGGCCCCGCCAGGGTGCGGCCACGCCACCACGCCTCGGGCCTCCCCCTGGTGGTGTTTTCAAACCTGTCCTCGTGGGCCGGCTTCCTCCTGCTCCGGGGTTGCAGTTCCTCAGCTTGACCTCACGTCGTGGGTTTTCTTTTCTGTTTTCATTTTACTACGTCCCACAGACTGTCCTTTTTTTGGAGATTCTTTTTCATTTTATGAGTATTGCAGTGTTTTCTTACACTGTTGCTCATTCGGGGACAGTGCTTGGCTTCCGCCTGGGCATCATCCCCGCGTCCTCCCCCGTGGGCAGCAGCTGGAGACTGGGGCGCCGCCTCCCTCTTCGCAGCCCACAGCGGCATGCCCCGGCACCCCCCACCCCGCCCCGCCCGCTGCTCACGGCCCGGCTGCCTGTCTTTCTCCCCCAGCTCTGCTTTGTGATGTTTTGGACCCCAAACGTCTCCGAGAAGATCCTGATAGACATCATCGGCGTGGACTTCGCCTTCGCCGAGCTGTGTGTGGTTCCCCTGCGGATCTTCTCCTTCTTCCCAGTTCCAGGTCAGCAGCGGGAGAGTGAAAGAAAAGTCTCTTTGCCCTCAAGCGCAGCTCGGTCTTGCTTCTCGGGACGGGCGGTCGCTGCGTCGTAGTTAGCTGGTCTGTGCCTGCCTGCCCTTCTTCAGCGGTCGCGAACCAGGGGCGGAAGAACGGGGGGCGCACGGGGTGGCCCACTCCTCGCTCCGCCTCCAGCCCCGTGTCTCCCACAGGCTGGGGCAGGGGGGCCGGGCTTCCCCTCAGCCTTCTCTGCCAGCAGCGGACCTGACAGTCATCAGGTTGCTGCATTGCTGAGTTTCCTGGAGATGAGCGCTTGAGGCTGGGGGTGGGGCCCTGGGTGTCCCCCCCGGGCAGGCCGAGGGAGTTGGCAGGGGCGCGGCGCGGCGTGGCTGACAGCCCCTGCTCTCCACAGTCACGGTGCGGGCCCACCTCACCGGGTGGCTGATGACGCTGAAGAAGACCTTCGTCCTGGCCCCCAGCTCTGTGCTGCGCATCATCGTGCTCATCACCAGCCTCGTGGTCCTGCCCTACCTGGGGTAGGTGGTCGCGGGCCTGGGCTGTGCCTGCCTGTCTGCAGGCCCTGGGAGCCCCTGGGACACCAGCGTGAGGGAGGCTGCGAGCCCGGGTAGTGGCGGCTGCGGAGAACCAGGCCGGCGAGTGGCAGATGCCAAACCTGCCTGACCGGGACCCCTGGGCTTCCGGTTAGAGCAGCTCTGCCGTGTCCTGAGTCACCTTGGCTGAAAGAAATGCCAGTGCTGTCCATGACCGCGTTTCCACGCGTCCTTGGTTTGCGGGCGCAAAGCTCTGTGCCCCTTGTTTTATTTTTTAAAGATTTATTGATTTGAAAAAAAATAAGATTTATTGATTGATACATACAAGAACTGGGGTGCAGGCCAGAGGTGCAGGGGGGTGAGGGGATTCACCAGCAACAGAGTGGGGAGCAGAACAGCCACATCTACTGAAATACGCTGCTGAGGGGAGCAGGCGGGGGACAGGCGAGGTCTGCTGCGCCCTGTGGGTCACTCCCTGGTTGGAGATGAACCCAGGCCGCAGAGATGATAGCACGATACTCATCCCCTGTGCCCCAGGGAAGCTCTCCATGCCCTTGTTAAGAGTCTCCAGCTGGGCCTGCTGGCAGCTGGAGCTACTTTGCCCTCAGGCAGCCGCAGAGAATAGGATCAGCCTGCTCTGGTTGGGCCAGTACAGAGGCCCCTGCTCTGACCTGGGGGAGGGAGGGGGGGTGGCTCCCAGGGGCTCCCAGGCATCCACCGCACATGGGTTCTATTTCGGGGGGCCCATGTCTGCGTGTTCACGGGAAATTCATGGTGTCATGGGGAAGGTCGGGAGGCTGCTGGCGCCCTGGACACGCTCCCTGGGTCAGGCCCACAGTGTTCACCAAGCACCTCCAAGTCATGACCAGCACAGGGGGGTGATAAGGAACAGGGGGGTGTCACCTTTGCCCTCCGGGGAGGGGGTGAGAGTGCGCCCCCAGCCAGCGAGACCTGGGGTGTCTCCCCACACAGACTGGTTACCAGTTTCAGCCCTTCCAGAGGCCGGGGCGCTCGCGTGCCCCTTCCCCGGCGGAGACTGCGGGCTGGCCGTGGCTGCACCAGCCTCTTGGCATTAACAAACACGGCTTTGCCATCTTCTCCCCGCAGGGTGCACGGGGCCACCCTGGGCGTGGGCTCCCTCCTGGCGGGGTTCGTGGGCGAGTCCACCATGGTCGCCATAGCCGCATGCTACGTGTATCGGAAACAGGTGAGACTGAGACAGCACCACACGGCTGCCTCGGCCGCCCCTGCCGCAGGCCTGCTCCCGGGCCCCCGGGCCCCCGGGCCGACGGGGTGGTGGCCTCCTCCCCTGCGCCCGGAGTCTCGGCGGAGCCCCTCCTCAGACCCACTGACGCAGGGCCCCTTCCTGCGCCGGGCCCCGCCCTGCTTCAGAAGGCCGTCTCGTGTTTCAAGAGACCAGGCACAGACTGCACAGCGATCTTGCTGTCTTCTCATGGCTTCGAGCTCACATGCGCACCACCCCGCCCCCCATGGAAATCCAGCACGTGTCTGACTCTTTGGGGCAGGGTCTTTCTAAGCCTGAGCTCTCAGGGAGCGAGCCCTCTTCACATTATTCACCCAGGAGAGAGGCAGGTAGACTGGAGGCAGCCAGTGGCCACCCCGCCCACCCTGCAGGGTAACTGGCGGAGAGCTGGGCCTGAAGAGGTCAGGGTTTTCCTGGCCAAGATGTAATCAAGGAAAGAGGAGCCAGGCTGTGGTTATGACTGACTTCGAGTAAGCTGATAAAGGAGGGAGAAGGGATTGGCTGGGATTAGAGGGAGTCCAGGGGGAGGGGGGCAGGTAGGGGGAGCTGGACATTGGCCTGGGGGGTGCTGAATGCTGATGATGACCCAGGGTAAGGGGAGGGCTGGGAGCTGAAAGGGAAGAAGGGGAGGCCCCTACGGCCAGGCCAGGCTGGCCAGGCGGGCAGCTCGCCGGCAGTCACCAGGAGCAAGCTCGAGTGGGCGGGACAGGACCACAGCCAAGCTGAGCCGGCACCGAGGGGTGAAAAGTTGGGGTGAGACCCCGAGCTCACCAGGGAGCCGTCGGTGAGGAGGACTAGAGCGGGCTCGGCCCCCGAGGGGGCTGCGGGGAGCGGGCTGGGCCCTGAGGGGGGCTGCGGGGTGCGGGCTCGGCCCTGAGGGGGGCTGCGGGGAGCC